TGCCTCAAACCGGGACTAAAGATTAGACCTTTAGTCCCGGTTTGAGGCACGAACCGGGACCAATGGGGTTGAGATCTTTAGTCCCGGTTCGTGCCACGAACCGGTACTAAAGGTCCCATTATCAAACTCTACCCCCCCTGCCCCCCGGTGGATCGCCTTTTCAGTTTTTAAAAAATAAAAAAATGATGGAAATGTCAAAAAAATAAAAGAAAATAAGTTTCCCATGTGATATGTGGTCTAGTTGTTGGGAAAATTTGCAAATGTGAATTTTGACTTTATTTGCAAAATCTCTCTGAAATTTGTAAAAATGGGCATAACTTTTGCATACTAACTCGGATTAAAAAGTTTTTTATATGAAAAAATCATCTACTCGAAAAGTTACATCCGAATTTAACTGGGGGAACCCCGTTAAACATTTTCAAAATCCTCAAAAACCTAATAGAAAAACGTTACGGGGCTTTTAAGATCTAGAGTGAAAAAATCAAAAAAAATTCAAACAGTGGGTAAACTTTGGTCAAACAATGGTCAAACAAATTATTCTACAATATTAGTGTTACTAAATAATTATTTCAGTTATTTCAATTTTGGTCAAATCTGGTCAAACGGTGGTCAAACAATGGTCAAACTAATTATTCAAGAAATATTAGTGTTACTAAATAATTATTGTTTTTTAAAAATAATAGTTTCAAAATAAAACTATGAAATGTGTCACTTCATGCTCAAGCAAAATTACTGAAGGTTAATAGGATTGACATCTTAGTATTGTTAGGAAAACAACAAGTGCAGACTTGGAGCGAGGGAGAATAGAACCCGGAAGTTAAGCGTGCTCGGGCTGGGGGAGTGGGAGGATGGGTGACCGTTTGGGAAGTTAGATGATTTGGAATGATGAGGGGTGATTAGAGGATAAATTGAGAAGTGATGAGGGGTGGTGATTACAGACTAGAGGTTAAAAAAAATTCAAATTTTTTTTCAAAAAAAAATCATAAAATTTCATTTAGTGACTAAAGGTGGAGCTCCATGTGACCGCGCCCTTTAGTCCCGGTTCTGGATTGAACCGGGACTAAAGGGAGAGGCATTAGTACCGACCCTTTTATCTCTGGGACTAAAGGCCCTTATGAACCGGGACTGAAGGCCCTTTTTCTACTAATGGGGTTGGAGCCTAATCTCTTTTATCTCTGGTTTATTGATCGCTGATATTGGTTACAACATGGGGCTCTCATTATACGAGTTCGAAAATAGCAAAGCTTGATAGCTTAACCACTAACCATGCCCGGCGGCCACTTCTTTTTAGCTGGGCGGCCATCTACTTTTCCCCACATGACACATTGTTTGACTTCTTATGCTTGTAGGAACATGTGTTTCTGGTGGACACGACAGGGCTAAGCTATTGGTCAATACGTAAGATGATTGTCCGTTCGATCTACTAATTGAGCAGGTTATTTTATCTCCTATTCTGCCCCTATCTAGTGGATGTGCTCTTTTGTTTGCCCCTCCATTCCTTCCAGCTTCTTTGTTTTGGTTATACCTTGTCCTTAGTACTCCCAAGTTATTCTGGTACTGTGGGCTCTTCTTCCTCTAGCCCCTTCAATGACCGATGACTTTGGACCCTTCCCCATTCCTTATTCGTGCATACGCTTGCGCCCCTCAGATATGGGAATGCTGTCATGCTAATTACTACTCCCTCTGTTCGGAAATAACTGACGTGGTTTTAGTTTAAATTTGAACCAAAACCACGTCAGTTATTTTTGAACGTTGGTAATAGAATGCTGTCATGCTAAGTACTTCCTCTGTAAATAAATATAAGAGCGTTTAGATCACTATTTTAATGATCTAAATGCTTTTATATTTGTTTACAAAGGGAGTACAAAGTACTAGAAAATGAACCACTAGCCCATTACTATGCTTTTGGGATATATTTCTCTTTTTGTTTTACTCTCATGGCATTGCCTTAACCTTTTTTTCCCCTGTGGTTATTGTCTATCACGTCCTAGTGTGATTTGCATGTTGTCCCGTGTATACAAGTAATTGATAACTAAAAACACATGAGCATATGGTTTCATAGTTCCTTTATTTATATGGATTTACAGGCATGTCATTTTGGATTGCTGCTTATTTTGGATTATTGTGATACCTAGTGAACAAATGATTGTGACAATATTTTGGAAGTTGTGGCTGCATTAAATCAAATACTGTTGTTTTTATTTTGCTTGCAGTTATTGTAGTTTCATGGACGATTATTCTGGTGTTAGGATGATTATTCTACTGTTGTGTTGTTTTGCTGAACATTTTATTAGCATGGTACTTGTCTGCCAATTTGGCCATTAGCCACTATATGTAGTTATGCTTTGTGTTCAATCTAATTTCTTCACTTTTGGCCACCTGGATGTTTAATACTTAATATAAAACACAAGATCAAAATTCCATGACTAGATTCATCATAACAACTGCTTTAGTTACTACTCCCTCCGTTCCTAAATATAAGTCTTTTTAGACATTTCAAATGGACTACAACATACGGATGTATGTAGACATATTTTAGAGTGTAGATTCACTCATTTTGCTTCGTATGTAGTCACTTGTTGCAATCTCTAAAAAAGACTTATATTTGGAAACGGAGGGAGTAATAGCTTTTGTTAGTTTTTACTAGTAGTGGTGGAACTGTTGGACCAAAAGAAGTACTCCCTCCGTCTCAAAATATAAGACCTTTTTGTAGGTTAAACTAGCCTAAAAACGTCTTATATTTTGAGACGGAGGTAGTACTAGCCTAAAAAATGTCTTATATTTTGAGACGGAGGTAGTATCAATTAATAAGATGATACATGATCATGGCTTTAAATAGCCTGCTATAGCTCTGCTATAGCATTTAAAAGAGGTCCTGCGCTAAGGGTCTTTTGTCCAAACACGTGAGCAAATATTTTAAATAGCTCGCTATAGCACTGCTATAGCATTTAGAAGAGGTCCGCCGCTAAGAGGCTTAGCGCGCTATTAAAATTTCGTACATGATCCCTTGCATCTGGCTTGTAGTGCATATATTTGACGAAATTCTATTTGTTAGTGCTAGTTAAGCTCATGCATTTCTAAAAAGTATGCGTATGAGCTAGAAACCAGATCTCTTTTTTTTTTGCTTTCCTACTCCATGAGCCTGCCATATGCCCGCTGTTCTTTTAGGCTCTATTCAGACAAGTATAGCCAAATACTTGTAATGTTAGAAGTTGAAGGTGTGGTACTGCCCACTACGCTACAATTTACCTTATTGTTGTTCTCTCACTCTGTCTAATGTTGATTTGTCTAATAATGCTGGGATGATCTACCTTCGAAACTTTTGGCTGAATTCCCACAATAGTGATGAAGCTCATGTTTACTGTTTTGGGTCTTGCAAAAGTCAGGAGAATAACTCCAACGGCTTTTCGCGAATAAATAGGACTACACAATTGCTTGACTGACGGTGATATTGCTTGCTTCACAGGTATCTAGAGCTACATTCTGGATTTCTGGTAACTGAAATGAAGAAATGGGTTGTTGGCTGTAGGCAGGCTCTTGTATTTTGTATGTTGGACCTTCAGATTGACTCTCTATGTAGCATGCACCGGTCTGTACTCTGCTGTGAAGTGCACCTGTAGGAATTAATTGCTTAATTTGATAACCTGCGTCGATTATCTAGTTTCTGTATGCATCAGTCAGCTGGCATGATGGCTGAAGGCACATTGACTATTTGCTTCGGTTAACGAGTACTTAGCCTGTGGTTTCTTTAATTTGCCCTATCTATGCTTTTCAAGCAAGCACCTTGTGACAGGCTGGCGAGTAAATTTATCTTGCTTGCATTTTGGTGTGTGCGCATGTGTCTGTTATTTGATTTATCTTGCGTGTTGTATCAGGGGTCGAGACTTTGGCCAGATTTTGTTGAATTTGTATCTGATTCCGAACTAAGAACTTACAATCTTGGTAGTTGTGAGTAGTGTGATTAGGGCATCTCCAATGTGACCTGTAAATTTGCTCCCGCATCCATCCACACAATACGGATGCAGGAGCCGGCCATACAACGATGTCCGCATACATTTCAACCATTGTTTGAACTAAGTGGGCAAAATTTACAAACACGATGGATTTCATTAAAGTTTAGATAGAAAGTAGCACAAATTATCCATATATAGTATGCAAATAAGTCTAGTACAATAATAGTTCAAATTCAACGAGATTAACTAGATGTTCAACAAGTTTTTTGATGAACGGATCCTGTCGTCTCACACATACTGCCCCTTCAGCTTCATCCAACAATGCATGTGCATAAATGGCCGCCCCTCTATCCTGTGGTACATCACGGCAGCACGTGTGGGCTACACAATGTGTAGAGCAACATTGAGTGAATGAATAATTCAATCGACAAGTTGATCAAGAAGAAGCAAAACTTACGATATCCTCGGCTGCCACGCGCAATGGTCACCTTGCCTCAAGCATATTAACCGTGCCACAAAACTCGGTGACGCTGGTCTAGATTGCATATCATCGATACACTAATGACCTCACATTGTAATCATGGATGATGTGTGTGTCATACAGTGCCATGTGCTTTCGCGCGTGAAACGAGTCATGCACTTGCTGTTAGAAGGACCCTTCTCTATCCTTGCATATGAAATCCCCGGATACGACCAATCACGCATCGCACAACAACTCATCCTCCATGGTCGAGTACCCCGCCATCCTTCGTACTCTAAAAATGACATGGTGTTTGAAAATAAGTTCAGTTGCATTTGACCAAACACCTACCGGGCGTGGTGTCCGCTATGGG